CCGTGTATGGGTTTACAGGGGCTACCATTGGTCAGTTACCATGTCTAGAGATATCATCAAGTGTAACAAGCTATGGTATTGCTTTTATCTTAGTCTTTGTTACTGTGTAATTTTAAAGTTATCCTTTTGTCAAATTGAAATAACATCTCCTTTGAGTTCTTACCGTCATGTGGATTGGATTGGATGTCTTGTAAAGGTCGACAAATGATTGAGCACACAAAAAAACTCGTGGAAGATAAATTTACAACACTTAATGGCTATGAACACAACGCTGAGGTATAATATTTAGAATTTTCTTGTTTTGATGCCTATGGGATTTCATGGATTAGTTAGATGGTGAAGCTATCTTAGGTGTCTTTATTTGTCCTTATTGCTGCATCTTGGCCTGGGGAATTTGACATTGAACCAATATAAAACTTTCTATCCTTGCCAATAAATTTTACACTTTCAGTTATGCATCTGCTTTCTAAAATTTAATGTAGTCAAGTCATATTTTTGTGCTTTACTACCATAATCAATTGGCCAGATGACTTACATAGTAATGTAATTCTTGCTACTAGGTAATATATGGAGACACAGATTCAGTCATGGTACAATTTGGTGTGTCTGCCGTAGAAGAGGCAATGAACTTGGGGAGAGAAGCTGCTGAATATATTAGTGGAACTTTCACAAAAGTAAGTTCATTTTGCGTTTCATTTTTTCTTTAGTCTAAGTTTGAGAAGTATGCTAGCCTGTGTAAGTGATTAAATCCTGAAAATTGTTTTTTTTTTCCTTGAAAAAGGAAATTGTTTTTTATGGATCACTTGTACTCATTATGTATGGCAAAATGTTCCTTTTTTATTTTCTCCAAACAATAAAGTAAGAATTGATTCTTTTGTTTTTGATTATCACGAGACATCAATAAAGATGAGCCTCCCATGGCTTGCAAAACAAAGTATTTTCAATTTACTTATTCCAGTCATTTCCCAAATTCTTCAAATATGGAATAAAAAGATGCATAGTTTTCCAAATAGTTTAGATTCAGCAATTATGATGTTATTTAAGTCATTAACATACACGGTAATTACAACTTCACATAATTTGCAAGCTAATCTAGTGGTAGTGTACAGAGAGATGAGGAGCAACAGTGCATTGGTCCTTGTAATTCAGGAACTTGCATTAATGTGTAACGTTAGATGTTGAAGCAGTAGCAGTCTTGGCCTGCAGAATTTTTAAGTTTCAGCTTCAGATATCTAAAATTTATTCTATCAACCAATTAAAAAAATAAGAAAAGAAATCCTCAGCTTAGATTTTCTTGAGACTTCATTCCTGTTTAAATTTGTTTGAATTTGATTTATTATTTAATTTGTTACTTTCTTATGTCCTTATGTAATTGTTGTCTTTTTGATTGTGAAGCCCATCAAACTAGAATTTGAGAAGGTTTACTATCCATATCTCTTGATCAGCAAGAAGAGATATGCTGGTTTGTTTTGGACAAAACCAGACAACTTTGACAAAATGGACACTAAAGGTAAACATTACTCTTTACTTTCCTGTTGCTTTGTTGAAGTTTCTCTAATACTAAATTTGCATTGAGCAGGTATTGAAACAGTTCGAAGAGACAATTGTTTATTGGTCAAAAACCTGGTGAACGATTGCCTTCACAAAATACTGATCGACAGAGACATTCCTGGGGCAGTTCAGTATGTCAAGACTGCAATTTCAGATCTTCTCATGAATCGCATGGATTTATCACTTCTGGTCATTACAAAGGTGAGAATTCTATTGAATCCACAGACCACCGAATGGTCTTTTATGGCTATTTTCTTTTTGTTGAGCATGCAGATGTTTGATGTGAGTGCGCAACTAGAATAATTCTTTTTGAACAAAGCACTAACATGCTTGTTTTAATAGGGTTTAACGAAGACAGGAGATGATTATGAAGTAAAGGCAGCTCATGTTGAACTTGCTGAAAGGATGCGCAAGGTTGGCTAGATGTACATTGGTGGTTCTGTTTTTTTACTATTTTATTTTTTGTAAAAATGAGATTCCTTTGGAACTGGAAAAACAAGGCAGTGTTATAGTATATTATCATTTGCACTATATGTGCCAAAACATGAAACCGACATTAGAAAAAGCCATGAATTACTTTTAATCTACATTGCATTCTATATTCTTTGCTCAGGTCCTGTAATTGGATTTTATGTTTCTAATGTTTGGTGAGTTATTTGTGAAACTATACAGTATTTGTCACTGCTCTGAAAGATTTTATATTTATGATTTTAGGCTTATTGAGCTTATCAGTTGTCATGTCTCCCTTAAGCCATAAACTTTTTTGTTTTTGCAATTGACAGCGAGATGCTGCCACTGCTCCAAATGTTGGAGATAGAGTACCTTATGTTATTGTTAAAGCTGCAAAAGGTGCAAAGGTAATACCACATGTCACCCTCTTTTTTTGAAGATTTTTAGTAATCTGTTTAGATTTTCTCTAGACTAACCTGTGTTAGAAAATCAGGCATATGAGAGATCAGAGGATCCTATCTATGTGCTAGAGAACAACATACCAATAGATCCCCAATACTATCTTGAGAATCAAATTAGCAAGGTTGGTCTATTAGATGTTTCAGATTTCTCCAATGTTTACTGTTCTTTATTAGATCCATTTTTATTGCAGCCAATTCTGAGAATTTTTGAGCCAATTCTGAAGAATGCTAGCAAGGAACTTCTCCATGGAAGCCATACAAGATCTATTTCTATTTCTACCCCGTCAAACAGTGGCATATTGAAATTTGCTAAGAAACAGCTTACGTGCATTGGTTGTAAAGCTTTACTTAGGTATCTATTTTTTTCTCTCTTAATAGTGACTTTAGGCTCTATGACTTTCTTGGCTGATATTACTTTTACATATTACCTTTTCTGTGTTTGCTTCATTATATTTTAGTAAATAGAAGATACAGGAAATACAAAGAATTAACATTTATGCACATGCTAACTTATTCAATAGCCAGGCTGCATATTTCAGAGGTTTTCTCTTCGCTTTAAATTTATAAGAAACATAGTCCAGCACAATATTATGGAGTAATTATGAATTTGCTAGTTGCAACTTAAGAAGATCTGTGCTTTATGGAAGTGAACATAAGACCCTGCCAAAAATAGCACATATGTAATAGAGGCGAGACTCCTTCAGACATTATGTTAATGAACATGTGAGAATTTTTGGGCATCTTAGTGAGAAAGAATAATTGATTTATTTAATTTCATATCCTCTGTAAATTTCTCTCTTTTGAACAATGTTTTTGTAGATACTACCTAGATAGCATTTTGCATAGGAGGTGCGATTGATCTGTGTGCATAGGTAGGTTATAATAATATTTTTTTGTTGCATTTGGTTCAGCAATGGTCATCACACTCTCTGTTCACATTGCAAAGGAAGGGAAGCTGAGCTGTACTGTAAAACAGTAGCTCAAGGTAGGCATCTGTTGAGCACTCTGTTCAATTTCAAATGGTTTTGTTGTACTGTATGGTTCCTGGTATTTTTTGTTTGAAAAAACATGTGGTGTGACTGCAGTGTCTGATCTGGAGATGCTTTTTGGGAGGTTGTGGACACAGTGTCAGGAGTGCCAAGGTTCACTTCATCAGGATGTTCTCTGCACAAGGTATGTTCACCATTTTGTGAAATTTGTCACTCAGGGTACTTTGCTGGTTGGGGTTCTCAATTTTTTGGCTTTAAGAGGCACCATATTATAGTATTAAATAAATCACATCCTGGGGTGGAGTCACAGGGCTTGTTTACTGATTTGGCATAACATGCGTCAAATTATTGTGGTGCCTTGGTGTCTTCCCATCTGCTCTTGCGGATTGCGTTCAAGAACGTGCAATTTAGTTGTGGTTTTTCATTGTTAGTTCGCTACCGCTGACTTTTCAAGAACTATTGTGTTGCAGTCGGGATTGTCCAATTTTCTACCGACGGAAAAAGGCACAGAAAGATATGGCCGAAGCAAGGTCGCAATTGGACCGATGGAACTTCTAAGATTTTGTTAAGGTCCTTTTTTTCTCTCTTTCGTCTTATCACCTGTAGGAATTTAACCCATTAATAGCTGTAACATTATTCCTTTCATCTCAGGGAGTAGTCATATTTTATATAGTAAAACTAAAAAAATTGAGGCATTATGAATTTTGTCAATCATAACTGGATTGAATTCTGAGTATCATTTGAAATTTCTATACTTTTTTTGGGTACTTATATCCACATGCACGTCCATTCCATACCAGGTCTGTTTGTTGGGTTGACATAATAAATAACTTCCAATTGTAGGTATCGTTAAATTTGCTAGTTTTGGGAAGGAGAACCTCTAGGACAAGCTCTTGTGACCGTATTTCTACCACTGGAGGAGATACATGTAGCCAAGAGCCTAGCTTTTGGTTCAGTTCATGTGCAGAATTTGCGTTGCGGATCTCGGAAGCCAATGGACGCTCCGCAATCCTGACATTTATAAGTGAGAGTAAACCCAGAATTTGCTAATCGAAAGATTCGTGTGGAATCCTCGAATGAGAATTTAGTTATCGGATGACATCAGCAGTAACTACTGGACTATTTTGATGTTCACAAAAATATAGTTCGATGCAAAGCAGTCTTTTCATGTCAGTGAGATGAGATTTGTAGATGCTTCCCTAGAGAGTAAGAGGGTGTTCTAAAACAATTAGTCGAGTGAGTTTTTATCATATCATAGTAATTGACATTTGCCTCATGTTCCGATAATGTTTTGGTGCGTGATTAATATAACAGTTTCAACCAACACAAGTCAGATTGCTAGTTTATTTTGTATATAAATATAACAAGACACTTTGTGGAAGGCAGTGTTTTTGCGTAAATAATTTTTAACCCAAAATGGAATTAATATAAGTAGCTTCTATATTTTTTATGCTTCTAGAACTAGTTTAAAGTTAAACCAATAAGAAACAAGGTTAAATATTGTATGTATCTGTCGGAGCCACCCTCGTATGTTCCTGGATAACTTCCGTTTTACCAAGTATGTCATAAATTTATTTTTGGTAACTAGGAAATAGTACGTCAATCTCCGGAATTTAACGAGACATTTTATTAAAGAATTTTACACCCAAAATATCTGTACATCACATTCTGAAAAGGTTAAGAGATATTTAAGCCATCATGTATGACGGAAATACATGACGTAAAAACCTGAGTCAAGTGTACAATCGCAAGCGAGTTGTGATTTGCATCCGGCACATAGGGCATGAAGATAATGTCGAGCCACACTCTTTGCAAGTCTACATCATCATAAAGGGAAAATCAATGTTCGATTTAAATGCAGATAAAACACGGACATGCATTTGTTTCTCTTCACATACAGGTGAAAATAGAATACCTTTTTTAACCATTTAGTACTTTATTAGGTAGTTTTTCCAATATCATACGAATGTTGAATGAAAAATGTTAACAACACAATCTCTAACACTCTTTTAAACACTTTAATGAGTTAAATTTTATTGAAAAATACTAAATTTGATAAAATCTCACCATATTTAATGATTCTTTTTTGATTTTGTAATTTTTAAAAAATTATAATCAATAAAAGTGTGTTAGGAGGAGTGTATTAAAAGGAGTGTTAATAGCACTCCTCATATGTTAAATAATCTTTTAATTTGTAAATAACAGTATTTTGAATTTGGCTGTCTTTAAGTTATATAGTTATATGCATTATCACAGTAGTCTTACAAAACAAACCACATTAGGCCCTCGTTCTTTTTGTCATTCTTTTAGTTCTTAAATAAAGTTATTTGTCATCACTTAAATCCTTCATAAAAACTCGTGTGATGACATTTTCGAATTTTGAAGGATTAGTGACATTATTCTGAATTAGCTTAATTTAAGAAAAATCATTTATTTTTGCCAAGCTTCCTGAGATTTTAAAAAATAAATGACTATTTCTTCATAATTAATTTTCAAACATGCCTAAAATCTGTGTTGTGCGCTAACAGTATCTCCTAGTTGACATTTGAAAATTATTTCCGTTAGTGATATAAATTACTAGTGAGTTTTATTTCTTAAAATTTTTAGGTTTAATTGTGTTTTTGATGTCTTAAATATTGTAATTGTGCAATCTTAATTCCTAAGATTTTAATCAAATAATTTTAGTTCTATAAGTATAACAGTTATACAAATTGAATACATTCCATTAAAAATTTAATAATTTTAAAATATTATATATATATATATATAT